GTATTTGCAGCACGTTTCTGTATTTGATTGTATTGTGAGTATTTGCAGCGCGTTTCTGCTGAGTTTGTAAGTCTTTTTAAAATGATTAAAAGAGCTATTTATGGTTGAATCAGACTACACTGGTCACGCTGTAGGTTATTGCATGCAGCTCAACACTTAATAGAGACTTAATGTTTTCTTGACATTATTTCTGAGAAAAAATGCTTTAAAACTGGTTAAAAAAATTAAATAACTTAAATTTTTAAATTATAAAATTATTGTTAAATAACTTATAAATTAATATCTAAAAAACATGAATACATTACTTTTGCTTTCTTTTGCTAATATACATCTCTGATATTCTTTTAAGCTTTAAACCTGAAACGTTAAAAGTAGAAAACATTTTATTTTACATTTGAGACATTTATTTTGAGGATCAGGGCCCAGTTACACTGAAAAAAAATTGTAAAAATAAATTTCACTCAGAAATTACTAGTAAATTTCACACTTGATTACAAAGAATTACATTGAATTAAACGTTTAAATTTTGAAGCCTAAAATAGTATTTTTGTGTGTAAGGTAATACAATAACCTTTTTTTTTTTTTACAACTTTGAAAAATAATTTTATACAGTATACAACAAACCCTTTAACTCATAGAAAGTTATAATATTACTTTTGTATTATCCGTAAGAATTTGCTGCAAATGGCTGCAGGTGTGTTAAGAGGTCTAAATTGGAGCGCTGACCAATTAAAAGCATTCATGGATAAAACTGCTGAATATATGCAAATATGCAGAAACGAGGCAAAAATGAATGCCAAGTAAACACACAGACTACAGCTCGACTGCAGCAGCCAGAAATCTCACTTGTAATCGTCTCAAGTGTTTCCCACAATGTCAAGCAGAACATTCATAATCACAAAATCACAGCAAAATAACTTCTGCCATTTAGCCCTAAATGCAGCTTCTGTCATAACAGCTGAAAGCAAACGCATGATGGCAACTACCTTCACCCAGCCAGGTATCCAGGTGAGAGCGTCCTCCCTCTTCCCCCTCGCGGTCCGGCCGGGCGACATCAGTCCACGCTCAGCTCGCCCCGGGTGATAATTCAGAATCAGAGCCCTCGCTAACGGAGAACGTCCATAAAGACGAGTCAGCCTCGCTTTGCCATCCATCTGCGTGTCCGCAGCTCTTCTTTGCTATCCGCCGTACCTGATCCCAGGCTTTTCCGCCCCTGCTTCCGTCGAGGTTATTTTTAAACCGTATGCCCGAGAAAGGGCACTGGTGTTGAGATCAAGTTTTCTGGCTCTCAGCATTTCTGGAGACCACGCCAGCACAAAGGCAGTGGGGCTGCGGAAACTCAATCTCTGGCTTTGGCTTAGTGCTAACAAAGGGTTATTTAGGGATGCTTATGCTGAAAGTCGTGTTCATTAACAGCTGATCTTCAAACGAGATCACATCTGCGTTCTGTCATTGATCCATCCACACGGTGTAAGGTCACAGAGGTATTTGAGCAAATACAAAGAGCTTATTGCCTAATGATTGTCTTTTGTACTTGGGTGGAATGACCTTTAATCCATTCAACATCTTAATCTAATTTATGAATGCCGAGAGAAGGGCAAACCATTTTGTGACCAGAACGCAAGATAAGAGCAGCAAAAGCACCTATTATCGTCCAATAATCCTAGTCGCATCACTTCAGTGCACTGGATATCAATGAAAAACCCTGCATTTTATCCAAATGTGAACATGTGCTATTTCTCAGCTTTTTCTACCAAATACGCAGTCTATGTTCATAGCTTCCTAACTTTTTAAGCCTTCCTAACAATTAGCTGAGCTATAAATGCCATGTGGGGAAATGAGGAAAAATGAGTGAATGAGGAAAAAACAAGAGGGAAAAAAAGGTGCGAAGTCTCTTTCATGGTTTTAAGAGCTCTTTGAAACATAATTTGGCACTGGTAAAACATCTACGATAGTATAATGAAATATTAGTCATATGTTGATTTGCAAAAAAAACAAACAAACATTTAAGACGATTTAGTTAGCATTTACCTGCAGGAGCGAACTAGCCCCATCTGAACCCCCTATGGATCTGACTCATGAAACTTACTTTCACTGGTGTAATCTAATTTTAAGAGCTTAAAGGGTTAGTTCACCCAAAAATGAAAATTAGACTGCGTTTTACTAACTTGTTTTCAAAATTGTGCTTAAGCAATCGTAAAAAACTGTAAATAAATCCAGCCTCGGTGAGGATAAGAGACTCCTTTTTAAATATTAACAAATCTTACCAACCCCAAACTTTTGAATGATAATAGTACATAATCTGTATTCAATAAACAATCTGAGTCAAACCTCAATCTGATGTCAAATGCATATTCATGAAAACAAATTATGCACTAAATGCAAACTGACACATCACTAACATCTTTAGCCAACCATAAAACAGTTACATAGTTAAAACCATCCGTCCAGACCTTGTTCGTAACCTCTGCCCTCTGTAGGAGTATTTCAGTATCACAACCTCGTCTGGAGCCAGTTCATCATCACTGTGACATCAGACATGCTGCAGGGGTTTGTTCAATGCAGAGTTTACATGGGCGTCCTGCCAGCTGTCATGAGGTCAGCCTCTTCCTGACCCGCGTGACCTTATGTGTCACAACGGATTTAACCACAAACACCAAAACCAAGGGTGTGTGTGTGAGAGTGAGTGTGTGTGTGTGTGTGTGTGTGAGAGTGAGAGTGAGTGTGTGTGTGTGTGTGTGTGTGAGAGTGAGAGTGAGTGTGTGTGTGTGTGAGTGTGTGTGTGAGTGAGTGTGTGTGCGTGCGTGTGTGTGTGTGTGTGTGTGAGAGAGTGAGAGTGAGAGTGAGAGTGAGTGTGTGTGTGTGTGTGTGTGAG